GAGTTATATCCTTTTTTTTTCGCCACATTCCACTTGAAATCTGTGTGTAATAGTTACTATAGGTCCTGAAGATGAATATGATACTACTTTTAGCGCTGGAGCTCTTTGGAGAAAATTTGGAATTTCCAACTTAAATGCAAAAATTTTGTCATCAGGGGGTTTGATCCTTGCACCGTTTCCTCATCACTTTTTGGCCTTTACGGGGCCGTTCAGCGGCAATGGACTTTGCTTCTGTACTCCACTCATGAGTTCCTATAACATGCAAAAAGCCGTTTCGAGAAAACGTACGACTTGCCCTGAACGACCTCCCTTGTTAGCTCCTTTTTTTTTCTTGAAAGCATAGAACTTGCATCTTTGTGCGCCTCACAGGTCGGCAGCCTCTTGTGCGGGATCAAGGATCGAACTCGCGGCTCTCAGAGATGCAGACATGAACCTGAACTCTTAACCACTCAGCCACCCCCATAACATGCCATAAGTGTGGGAAAAGACAAGTGCCTACACACTTTCTAACAATAGACCAGTATGTGGCACACTCCAGAGCAGGAGAATTCACCACAGCATCACAGGATGGGTTAACCAGGCACCTGCGGCAAAAGTTGAAGCGCACTAGATCACAGGGTGAGTGGCTTACTCACCTCGAAGCTCTTCTCTCCCTAAAGGCGCCAAATGGCGCCAGTGGCAAAGTGTATTTTATATTCGTAATCACGACACAACCCCTGTGCACAAAGCTGGTGGAAATAGCCTTGGCGCCAATTGGCGCCACATTGCGTCAACGCCAAAAATCGATGTCATTTCCGTAATCAGGGCATTGAATAACCTCTATGGGCAACTTCCGACGAAAATAAAATTTTGAGATTTTGAGGTTGTAATAATTGAACAGCGCCGATAACGATATCAAAAGTGTAAACTAAGAACTCGCGAGCAAGGAGGAGTGTGGACACACCAGGAGGGGAAGGTGATAGGCTGCGTCACTTATTAAAATGTGCGATTTTACACTCGTTGAGAGGAAGCAAACAAACCACACGCCCCTGAAAGCTGGCAGTTCCAGAATTTTGGAAATTAAATGATGTGGCTCATTAACTGTTCTCACAGGAACTAAACAAGTGCTCTAAAAAGTAGGCAGTTGCCTAGAAACTGCCAGTTTTTTTTTGGTTGGCGAGGACTCGTATCTACGAATGAAAAAAAAGGAATTAATCCTAACGCTACCGTTTGATAGCTCTAATCACGAAAGACATAGGACTTGATGTAGCCTTTGATACTTGCTGACCATATTTCAACACCATCCAGCAAGTTCTTGTGAGACAATCAAACATTTTGACTCGATGCACCAAAAGCAATCGCTCATGATAATGTGACCCATTCAACCATTACCGTAATTCTCGCCGCGCTCGTGAGCAACTCGAGGGTGGCGCGTGCTTGTCTCGCAACAGAGGGTATGTGTGCTTATTGATCGTTTTGGTTACATTTAGATGTACAGCTATTTTATGTGTATGTTATTATATTCTACGGTGTAGTTTGTACGCGATTTGATGTTGTTGAGACATTGGGTTAGTATATTTTTTATTAGGGGTTTTTGTCACTCTCTTCAACGGTCAGAAGAGCTTGGAATCTCCATCGAAAAATTAGTAGAGTTTCCCGCACAGTAGAAATCTTTCCCTTGAAGTAGATTAAGTGTGTGCTATCCTCTGCCTTTGAAGAAGTTGCTCAGAGTTTGTATATAAGTTTTCCTATAAATGCCTTCACTCCCCGAGTATTAATTGTATTTTAAATGGTCATTTTAATCTCAGAATCCTTCAGAATTGTGTCAATATAGGGACTTTTTATGCAGTCAATTTCTCAACGCGCTGGGAAAGCTGTGTTTCTGTTTGATGGTTCTCATTAACGCGATATGAAAGGACTTGGAAATTTAACGCGGAATCCAAACGACAAAACCTTCACCTATGAGATGCTAGAAGTCCTATCATGTATTACGTATAAATCCACAGTACAGCTGCCCAATGTTGCAAATTTTGTGCGTTTTCCATCCGTGTTGTTTAGAATGAGTTCCGCCAAGGTGGCATCCCATTAAATAACGTTCTTACACTGGTGGCAGCGGATCGTTAAACCCGAACCTTCTTCTCCCCCCATGATGGAAAATGTGACTCACCTGGTGTGAGAATTTTAATGCATATCTTAGTTGAGCTGAATGAATAGGTGTGGTCAAATGTTGCTGGGATTAGTCGAATTATGTCGTAGGTCTTGCAATTATGATGATAACTTCTTTTTTTACTCGCCTACTCTTTCATGTTTTGCTCGCATGTATTTCCTGGACTGTGTTTTTATGCGATTTTTTGATACGAAGCGCTGAGATAGCGAAATCACCAGAAAAGAACGCATTTAGGCATATTTGAAACTGTACTTGGTATATTAACACATTGTGTACCGCGTGCGCCACCATGTTGCGCACGAGTTTCGCACGAAACATCCTAGTTTTATCTGAATTATTTGACATTTTTCAATGCTCTCGAACTGTTTGCGGTAATTTTCAGAGCCGGGAAACCATACGTGTCATCACTGATAAAATTGTTGATAGATGAATGATGATAAATTTTTGAAAAATATAAAAATAATATGAAAGTACTCATGCAACGGCAGTCCGCAATGTGTTGAAGGTGAAAACTTCCAAGCATGTGACCTTTTTCGTTTTCGTCTCTTTTCTTGTCCCTCTCTTCGCTTCGGTATCATTTAACAGTTTTGCACGAAGGCAGCCCATCTGCTGATTTGCACAAGCAACAAATTGAAAAGCAACAGCAGCAACAACATAGCCTGACTGGAGCTGGTGTAGCGATATGACTACTTTTCGAGATAGTACATAACTGAAAGATCAGTAGACCACAATAGTGTCCTATTGTTCGGCAGTGTTCGCCTAATTTTTTAGGAAAACTGTCCAGTATCCACATAACAGTACTAGCGTAGCTGTATGATTTTAAGATTTTAAATACAATTTAGTCGTGAGATGCCATTGGGGGAAGCTCATTGCAAACTCAAAATTATGTTGTGAGTCGCATTACTCTTCTACATTACACTAATGGTACGCCGCACCACAATGATCTGAGCAGATGCCTAAACTCGGATATTCGCCGCGAAAACCTTGGCTAGAAGATTCTCCGGCGCTGGTTCAGCGACGAGCTCTCATCCGTCGGTCGTTCAGTCGGAGTTGATCAGCTGTTATTCTTCTGTTTCTCATATAAGCGAATGCAGCTAGTCGTTATTCTCGAAAGGTAAGTTGTTTAAAGGGCTGTTGGTTTTATCAAAGCTTCTTTTATAGTTTGTTTTTTCTTCTTTCGTAGCTTTCACTCATTATTTTCTGCTCATTGTTCGTCTCCATTACATTACATTGTGTTTGGAGTGTTCCCGTTACCCTAGTTTTCACGTTCCCTCTTTTATTTCACTACCTCTTCATGATAGTGTCCTCGATGTGTTCTCTCCTTATCGGGCACACTCTTGGACACCATTTCGAAGATTGCTGCCGTTCTGAGACGTTTCCTTGTGTTTGCCACAGTCGACATGTTTCTTTTGCTCTTTACCAGGTACTGTAAAACCTATTACTTTTTTGCAAATTTTATTGAGTATTATTAACTTATTGAATGTGAATCTACCAGATACTTCCAACCCTTTTCATTGTAGATTGATGTTGGTTGTTCTCCGTAAGGGGATTACGGTTTTTTTAACACCCAGCTGTCGCAGAAAATAGTGAGGTACGGCAATCCATAGCAGCATGAAGTCAGCATGGGCCGCAGTTTCCGGCCGGGGATAAATCCTCAACATCTGGTCTGGAAGCTTCCTCTATCCTGACCATGGGAATACATCATCGACCGGAGGTGAGGTGCAGTTTTGGAGATCCACCTTCGGCAGGGGGGTCCACAGGGAGCTTGTCGGTCCCAGTGGTGTTCCCCTGCGCTCTCTCAACACCGGTTCATGACTGCGGTGATCTCACACATTCAAGCATTTGCTACTGTAATAGGCTTACCCTCTTTGGAGTCCCTCCTCCTTCCAAGGCTCAGTCTTAAGACGCTCAGTTCCTCTTTGGCTGGTTTCAAAGTCCCTGGTTCCTCGCGCGATTCGTGGGAATCGCGCGAGGAACCAGGGAAATCACAAGTGCTCCGATCAATACTGCGAGGTCGCGGACTCTGACCAGCCTTTGGGATTTGGAGCCAAACCAGGCGCCTTTCTCTAAGACTTGTGCTCTAGCCATTCGTGGCAAGACCATAAAAGAAAGTTCAAGTAGTCCGTAAACCACCGCAGTGTTCCCTGTACGCGCAATATTGTCCATTAAAATTGGTAAATTTGACTACCCTTGCGTCGAAACACTCGTGTATAGCTGGTTCGTTCAGATAGACGCGTAGAATCATTTTAAACAAAGAAGAAAGGTTGGGATGTTATGGGGCTTGTGACAGTTCTTCAAGGAAGTGATCGCGATCATTGGCTTTTTGACTCACTAAACGGGATGTGAACGAGGCAGAGCCCTTTCAAAATCAGTCAACAGCCAGTGTGGTTCCCTTTGTCACTTTCTGTGTCATAGTTTTGATTGCAGATCTAATTAGGCATAGGAATGAATCCATCATCCATTTTGTGCACAGCTCATGGTTTGATGTTGAAGAATTGATTATTCCTTCAGCTTCAGTTCTTATATAACATTGCATTACTGCGGATTTTATGTTCACTGCTCCTTATTCGCTCAAGTGGCAGCCGGTCCAGTACCTGCTCATTTTCATGTTAGTACTAAACTGTTCCTGTGACAGCTTCATATCCAAACAGTGTTGTTACACTTCTGTTCGCCGTGTTACATCGAAGCTCTCGCGGGCGTAAAGATAATTCAAGCTGCAGAATCTGCGTAAAATAGCAACTATCCAACGCAATGTTCATACTATGCGTGGTTCTACGGTTTTACCGTGGTGTGGTACTCAATTTCGTTCAATGACCACATTTTCAGGTCACGCAGCTTCGGGGCTGCTTCAGGGATGACCCCTGAGCAGGTACGTGCGATTAGTGCGAAGGCGGACGAAGAGCGCCGCCGATTGAAGAATAATACTCTACAACAACCTCTAAATCCCGCAAATAATCAGTCCCATATACAGTCTATTCAGGAGCATCAGCCCACAAACACTAGTCATAAAGGTACGATCTGTTACTGTGATCAATACTGGATGTTCTCTTCCATTCATTTGTAATTTAGTCGCATCTGATGGCACCGAAGCAACTACGGAAAAAATCCATCGCGGTCATGCTGATGCGCCGATCAGAAAATTAACGTGTGATCTCATCAAGACCTACAAAAACATTAATGAGGTATGCGAAGCTTTTGTAATCTTTTCTGTTTATGTCCTTTTGTTTGGCTCCGGGACTTTTTATAACCCAAAGGCGTGACCGTGGTCAGCGTGGATGAGTCAGTTGTGCACCCGCTGTAGCAGGCGGTAGCCTCTATGCTGCGTCTAAGGGGCGCGCGAACTGCGCAGGAGCACAACCGACTCATCCGCGCTCATGGCTGCCACGCCTTCAAGTATGAAAAAGTCGTGGGGCTCTTTTGTTTACTTTTGAGTTGGAAGTGGATCCGTCTCGGCTGGTTTTCAAGAAGGCGTTCTTGATTTTGCATTGGCCGATGTCAGACTTTGCGATTGGAGCGATTTTGCACCAATTGCAGGAGCGACGGATCGCTCAAGCGATGCGAGCGACGGGAGATTTACACCGCCGAATACCGATACACACGATGCCGCTCGGGTAAATATCTCGTCGCTCGCATCGCTTGAACGATCCGTCGCTGCTGCAATTGGTGCAAAATCGCTCCAATCGCAAAGTCTGACATCGGCCATTGAGAAAGAAGGTCGCAGCCATTTTGGAGGGATCGGCTATTTCAAACCTGTGTTGTGGGTTTTCGCAATTATCTCCCACTCAAATTCAACTCAACCAAACTCAAAGAATGCCCGCATCCTACCGGTAGATTTCGTGTAACTTATGCACTAACTCTCCGCTCAGCTCTGCCTATTTTTTTCACTGTTTCCGTGCCGTTCTCGAATCTGGTCAGGGATTTTTACATCGCACCGCCCATTCCGGTGCACATCTCGGCTTTCGCAGACGGGACTCCACTTGACTCGAGTGTGGTTTACACGTATTGCCCATGCTCCGCCGATCCACGACTTGATTCAGTCTCTATGTGATAATATAACCAAACTGTGCGAGGGCACATGCATCTACGATAGGTTTAGACAAACATATGCTCTCCACATGACTTGTCAGTGGAAGTGGGCATCGTGGTTGGCTGACATAATGGACACTCTGCCTGTTCTACTGCGTGCTAACACTTAACATCATCATGGAAGCACTTATGGTAGGGACATCCTCTGTATCGACCACATCAACTTGATACGGACAGAGAGAGGGAGACGATACGTGGACTGAGAAATGAAGGCTAGAGTAAACAAGGCAAGGGAGTCTACGGATGTCGCTCGCGACCATTAGTGCTCTGGGACAAAAGAACGGTGTACTGGATAGGAGCAAGACCTTCATTATAGTGCTCTGTTAAGGTGAGTACTGGACCCTGGCAAGAATCATGCAAGGCAGCTACGCTGAGTTAGGTCAGCACCCCGAAAGGAGCACCAGAAAGGTCAGGATGGTCATGCAGGAGCCCTGCCCAGTCAAAGGCACTAGGACCGCAGCTGTGATGGTGGATGTATGCCACACGATGGGATGGATATATACTAGGAAGGTTCCAGTATAATTTTTTGATAAGAGAAGCATTGAACTTCGAGGTGCAGAGCAAACAACCACAAACAGCCCTAAAATGAGGTTCAAGAGTTCAACAAAAAAGACCATCAAAGTGGAAACAACGGCAGCAGATGCTTTCAGAATAACGTGGCGAGCCATAGCAAGAGTAGCGGACTCTGCCATGGCGCGGAGTTATTTTAGGGAGAAAAGAGAAACCTCTGACTTGTCGACTTCGACGGAACAGTGGATAAGACTAGCGAGTACCATTTGTGCGCGGGTGATCTTTGAAATGCTTCTATTACTCTAATCGTAAATGCGCCAAAGAACACTGGACCTTAGGGTGAAATTCTCGGGAACGTCAAATAGAAAGCTCTTACTTGACAGTTACAACAACTCAAGTAGTCTGTTGTGCCCAGCGAGCATTTCTTGTTCAGTGTTACGCATTATTGGTTGTGCACGTCTTTATGATTTCTGTAGAAGAACTGGTGAAATGAGTTTTTGCTTTGCAGTCTTTCTATTTGCGGAAGGCTCTTCGACGGCAAGAGCATCAAGGGAACATCCAGTCTTGTCATAATGCGTCAACAGCGACGGCTACCGTTAATTTGCAGGTGCTCGCTTAGTAATCTCATCGCTACTTCTTTGCTTCCTGTGTCTTCATTGTTTTCTACGTCGGTGTGTTTCAGTCTGCTGGCTCTGGAGGTAATTCGCAGGTACAAGCAACTACTCATAACAGTGGGACAAGCTTGGACAGGCAGCAGAATTCCGGGCCTAAGGGGTACGTCATTTCTCGAATTTTTTTTTATAAACTTCCTTATGAGGGTCATTTGATGGTGATTGTGGGTTACTTTTAGAATGGTGAAACATTTCTGTGCTCCGAAACAGCTCTTTAACATGAAACGAACCATCATTCAGGAAAAGCGCTCCTTATCCTGAAAAAAAAAAGCTTCCTGCATAATGCAACAACCACAGACTCCATCCTAATTCCTTTACTGTCTCTGCACAAGACTTCCTTTCTTTTCGGTCTCGTTGGCTTTCTATCCGTTAGTGGACCCGTCATGTAGTCCTGCAGCTACTCCCATCATGGCTTCATTGAAAAAAAATCCTCTCAGAAAGGTGGTCCGTGGAATTCTTCCAGGTGCTTTGTTGTGCTTTTCACGATGAGGGAGTTGGGGAAGTAAATAGCTTGTATTGCAGCGGTAAATAAATGGTGCGTTGTACATCAGCTGCCCGCTCCCCTCTCCCCCAACCCCATATCCAAAGTTGTTGGAAAGGCCACAGCGCATTCGGATATTGTGCATGCATAGTCGGCTGCCCGATCGTAAGTCGCACAACATTGGATGCGTATCGATCGTTAAACTTGCTGAAGTATTCGGCGATCGATATGTATCTAACGCTGTGCGATCGTTACGATTGGGCGACCTACTCTGCATGCGATCTTACCGCTACGCAAATGGCAATTGAGCTGAAAACTGGGCCCATTTGAAAGGGGTTCGGTCAACGTTGAAAGCATAATACGGGATGCAGTGCTCAGAATGCAGCTCGAGGTGTAGCGCTACGACGAAAGGGTGCTATGCAGCCGTTTAGGCAATGTTGTTTGTTTTTTTTGAAGTTCTTCTCATACCCGCAGGTTTGTGCAGCAGAGTGCACTCATGCATCGTTTGATCTTTTTTGAACAATAGTATGTCTACTATCTCCTTTTAGTTTGCCTCACTTTGATACAAACGCTCCGCCGGCATCCCTGATGGTCGTCCCATCAGTTCCGGAAGGCGAAGAAAATAGAAATCGGCAAAAATCAAGCAGGTTGTTGATTTTTGTGCGAATTGTCTTCATTTTTATGCATATGCCAATATTTCTTTCAGGGGAGGTCCTCATAATGGTGGTTATGACGACAAAAATAATGACTATATACTCAAAGATGGCGAATGTTTCAATGCTCGGTTAGTTACATTTCAAGTACATTAAGGAAATTATATCACTAACTCACACAAGACATCTTGCAAAAATTGCTGACCATTGAATGGAGGTAGGTAAGTGTGCTCTTTTGATGGAGACGGCGCACGTTTTAGAGGTGGGGTTTACAATAAAGAGGCAGCCCATTGAAAATCAAGGAAAGATGGTCAATGGCGCAGTGTTGGACTGGTTTCCGCAATGGTGCTACTCTCATCGGTGGTGCTTTCTTTAACGCTAACGCTGTCGTTGCTCAATGGCTAGAATTAGACGGCGAGAGGGTGGCTGTGCAGTGGCCCGTGTATAGCCCTCCTAGGCCACTGGTTACACACTTCGCTACGCAACGCGCATCGTTCCTTACTTAGAGGGCCCGAATGCCCTTCGACTAGGTATATTTCCCCTTCTTCGACTCCGACCTTCCTTGTCGTGGAATCCTCCTTAACGATCATGTCCTTTTCCGATTCTCAACGTTTTTTTTTCTGCTTTTTTTTCGCCACTGGCGGACCACTGAGCACTACCACATCCTCTCCGGACCACTCTAGGACCTATTTTGATCGCTGCCTTGGCTAAAAATCTGTCACCACAGCAGCAATCTGCACCGCAGTGTTCGTCTTTTTTCTTGTTCTTGTGGCGCATCAGTGCCTATACGAACGATGCGCAACGATCTTGACGACCATAGATTTGCGACAGTGGTGGATAGAGCAGAGAAATTTAGGTTCTGAATCTGAATATCTGCTTCGCCAAGAATCTTTCCATAAATTTCTGTAGTTACATCAAAGATCGTTATATATTTACAGGTATATTATTCTTACGGAGAAGCCGATAGGAAAAGGATCGTTTGGACAAGTTACACGCGCTTACGACACTGTTGCAAAAGAGGACGTTGCTATCAAAATCATAAAAAATAAGAAAACCTTCTTCGATCAAGCCCAGATTGAAATCAAATTGCTTGAAATGATGAGAGCACATGACACAGAGCGGAAATACAACGTCGGTAAGGGTTCTTGTGGTTCTTGTTATATATTCGCACCATCAGTTCATTACTGAAATTCTTTTTAATGCCTTTACAGTTCTACTCAAAGGCCACTTTGTTCATCGGAATCATCTGTGTCTTGTATTCGAACTACTGTCATATAATCTTTACGATCTGTTGAGGAACACGAATTTTCGTGGCGTTTCGCTCAATCTTACAAGGAAATTTGCTCAACAGGTTAGATTTCTGTGAGAGATTGAACTTGAACATCAATACAGTCTTCTCTAAGTCTTTTTTCTTGAACAATATTTTATCGTTTATATTACATCTTATATGATATGATTAGCCTGCGTGTGGGAAAACGTGTCATAATACGAACTCATCTTTGTATTTGTTGCTTAACGCATGCCTAGGACAGGCTGCATTGGAATATTTATTTACTTATTTATTATTTGTTATTTTTTTTATTTTTTGAAACGACTATGGTCAGTATTGCAGCTGAACTCACAGCATTTTTGCGCTTTCAACAATTCCAAACGAAGTTGAGTTAAAGGGTTAGGCTGATGTCAGACTTTGCAAATCCAATGATTATTGCTCCAATGCAATTGCTAGCGTCCGCGGTCGCGTCGCGGCCACCGAATCGCTCGATTGGCTGATGCCGCAACGCGACCGCTTGCGCTAACGAACCGCTATTGGCAAATCGCTCTATTCGTAAAGTCTGTCATCGGCCTTAGTTCTAGCAGCAGTGGAGTCATTTATTACAAGTGTATTTTGATGGCTTTCAGAGAGGCCTTTGTGAAAGTGTAGTAAATCGAGGCAACTAAAACAAGCAAACACGGAGACCTTTATTTGTCTCATAACCTCACATGACATGTATGTTAGAGCGGCAGCTCATAGAGAATGTCAAATATGTGGCCAAAGCACGTTTGAGAAAGAAGAAGCTCTTTTGTAAGCGTCTGGATGCGTGCAAAGGGCCGTATGGTATACATCCTGGCTGGGAGTGGCCCCCCTATCCGAAATGCGGACAACATTCGCCATGCCCATCATAAGCAGAAGTCGGGAACGAATCCCTTAGGAAGAGACTGAAGAATTAAGCCTTCGAAAGCATTCTGTCTTGTTTAATTACCTTATTGCGTGGTTTCAGGAAGTAAAGCCGATATCCGAGAGTTGGGGTAGGTGTGTCACCGGAACCATCGCCGCACTTTATAGAAGTTAGTGGATAAGCTGCTTCCAACATGCATAGCTGGATGTCAGCAAAGCACGCTGGCAACAGCTTATCAACGCATCTTCTATCAACTGCGGCAGTAGACAAGTCACTTCCGGTGTCACGCCTACCCCAACTCTCGGATATCAACTGTGTACTACTACAATACGACTAAGGTTTATGATAGGTCAAAGTTCGAAAGCTTTCTATCTCTTCCTTAATGGCCATGGCGACCTGCTATCCATTCCCTATAAATTCATGGAGAAATATCGGGGCTGAACGAGTTTTCTCAGTGGTTATGGACGCACGAAATTTAAGTGAGCAAAAGGAGTAAGCTTTCTCAACTCGTGAAAAACTCGAAATTACGCGTTTCACCTACTTAGTAATGTATAAGTTGCGGTAGAATGATTGTGGCCTGTTCTGAAGCAGTGGGTCAAAACGTAACACTTCAGAGACCGCGCGTGTTTTACGTTCCGCGGCCGCGCGGGACTTCGGTGAAATTTTTAGGGATCTTATCTAGCAAATTCTAGAAAAGAACCTACTGTGTAATGCAGAAGAAATCTTATCTTATAAACTGGAAAAGAAAATGAATAAAAAACCTATTAATTGTTTACGAAATGCAAGCTGAAGGTCCTATGCGATCGGAGGACTGCAGCCCACATATTGGCTGCGTGGGCTCCAAGGTGTTAATATCACTCATGACAATAAACTGTCAATCAACAGTTGGCAATACCTATCAAAATGACTTTCCATGAACATGAGACTTCCTTCACAAGGAGCCTTTAGATTCTGACTTTTCCTGAATGACATCTTACAGAATTTCATCCCATGTTTTTTGAAGAACTTTTGAAGAAGAACTTATAGCGATCCAGTTGATGTTTTGTGCAAGCCTCCAATCTTAATATCGGCTACCGAATAATCGGCTGCAAATAGATCATGGGTTAGTTGACATCCTTTGTATGTACTCAGGAGAATTGGCTAGAATAAGGCTTGCACCTAATTCCTGCCAAAACTTTATATTACGTTATACCCAATCATTGTGAACGACCCAAATGACAAAAAAATTCCTTTCAAAATTTATCCTTGGTGATTACTCTACATGATCTAGTCTTCTGACCCAATCTATCATTAATATGGAAGGATCTCGAGTGATGTTCTTTCTGCTATTCCTTCTTTGGGTCATTTCAACGAGTTAGAGTTTCGTTTGCTGAAGTTCTGCTTTCTTCATGCACCTTCTCCTCAGCCTTTATAGAATGCCTTTTTGCAGCGCCAGAAGCTCCAGATTCTCACCTCTGTTTTTTCTCTACGAATTTGACGATCTAGTATTCGCGAACGCATAGGATTACATTTCAAGCCTGCAGCGCTTATTTCTTCTCATCGTTGAACTTGGAACCTCAAATCTAGTCAATTTATACTTCTTGTTTAATTTTGATGATCACGCTTCGTGTTAGTATTTATACCAGTTGTCTCGGTGCCGGTACCAGTCTTTATGTGTACCTCGTCTGACAGTAAGTTGAGACATTTTACTCTCTGTGCATCACTAGAGTACGGCACATCTCAGCAATGACGTGTGAAGCTAGAAGTACTTTGACTCTGGTAAAGTACAACTCTTGGTACAATTTTAGAATTGATGCAGGATAGTCCTGTCACCGTAATTGTAGCTACCCGTAGACCTCATTCCACTTGGCTAGAGACCTATTGCCTTTTTTGTCACTTTGTTGACTTTGAAATCCATTATTGCTACACAAATTCCCTCTCCGACTTGGTGGCTGTAGCATTGCTGTCTTAGGCCGATGTCATAATTTGCGAATCGAGCAATTCACTAGCGAATCGCTGGATCCAAGCGTTGCGCCAGCGGATGCACGAATCGAACTTTGCGCAAGCCAATCGACCGATGCACCAGCGTGTCGAACGATGTACCAACGAGTCGAACTATGCACCAACGGCTCAATAGTGGCGGGACCCAACGTTCAACTTCCTTTGAGCGTTGGGTCCTACCACTATTGAGTCACTTGTACATAGTTCGACTCGCTGGTGCACCGGTCGATTCGCTGGCGCAACGTTCGATTTGCTGCGCAACGCTCGGATCCAGCGATTCGCTAGCGGATTTCGCAATCTATGACATCGGCCTTAACAAGAGATTCGAGCTGGCTCGGAGTTTGACCATCTGAGATGCACGTTTATGGTTGATGAAGCATCAGTATTGCGCTAATTCCACTGTCCTGAGTTGTTTTTATGTGACACTGATGACATTAAATAGACGACATTACTGTAAAGGCTCGGACGTTCACAATGTCTACGAGAGCGAAGAGAACTACCTTGAGATTCTGAGTTCAGTTACAAAAGCTCTAGTGAAGAGGATCGCTATTCCACTGTAATGACGTGTTTCAGTTGACGAAAACCCTGCTCTTTCTGTCGTCTCCGGAACTGTCTATTATTCACTGCGATCTCAAGCCAGAAAACGTGTTGCTGTGTAATCCTAAGCGCTCGAAGATTAATATCATTGACTTTGGATCTTCATGCCAGATTGGTCATCGGATTTATCAATATATACAGTCAAGGTTTGTTATTATTTTCTATCATTTTCTCTGTGCATTTCGAAAACAACTAATGCTGGTGTCAGACTTCGCGATCCGTCGCGCGATTCGAAAAAATTGCAAGTGCACCATTTGAGCACATTTGAAACAGCGAATATAAAAAAACAATTATGCAGTCGGCAGAGCAGGAAGCAGAAATATCGGCGGAATTGAAAAGCACCTCGCGGTATTGATCGGAGCACATGCGATTTCTGTGATCCGTCTTGCTATTAGCGCTCGCGCGACGGATTGCGGACTCTGACACCAGCATGAGCCTATTCACACCTATTTCACCAGTTTTTCAATCAAAGTCTATTAGTAAGGGTTACTGACGTTCCTAATCATGAAGCTGGTACTAATTATTCATGCTAATTCCATTTTGCGCGAATTTTGAAACGTCAACTCGGAATGCAAAAATTTGTCACCACGAGGAATTGAACTAAGGACCCCTTTTCTGGTTTCTGGTTCAGAGGGTTGTTCAGGAAAAGTGAAACATGCCTCCGTGGTCCCTATCTGTGCCCCAATGTCATGCAAGAAACCATTTTGAAAAAGCTTGGCACACTCTGAGCGATCTCCCTTGTTAGCACCCAAAATCCATCCCAGTTTCCGTTCTCGTTTCTCTATTATTGCCTTACTATTTCAGGTTTTATCGTTCTCCTGAGGTTTTATTAGGAATCGCTTATGACACAAAGATCGATATGTGGTCACTAGGTTCGTTCAGGTTTTTTTTCATGAGCCTTCTGTTATAAATTGCTTTTGGTTCAGGTTGTATCCTAGTGGAAATGCATACAGGAGAGCCGCTCTTCGCTGGATCTTCAGAGTTAGATCAAATGATGAAAATTGTTGAAGTACTGGGAATGCCACCGAAAGAACTTTTAGACATTGGCCCAAAGACTCACAAGTACTTTGGGAAAACAGAAGGTATTCTTCGTGGTTTGACTTTATTTCGCCATACTCACGTGATGATACCTTTGTTTTCAGACGGTGTCTATTATTGCAAGACTACCCGTGACAATTTTAACAAATGCTACCGTGGACCGGGACACAGGAAACTGCATGACATCCTCGGTGTTACCTCTGGTGGCCCCAATGGAAGGCGTGCGGGAGAGTCAGGGCACTCAGTAGAAGAGTACAGCAAATTCAAGGTTCGTTTCAGAACTACTTTTCAATAAGGCGCTAGTGCGCTAGGTATGTGCTCTTGATGCGAATAGTCCTTTTCATAAATAGCACAAACTTTCTTTCATTATGAACGTCTAGGAAACGGATGCTCACCGAGTTTCCTACACGCTCATGAAAATCGCACAAGTGAATTTTGAGGGCGGCATTGGGGTGCAATACTTAGTGGAATTACTGCGAATCCACTTTTGCGCAAGAACACTAGAAAGGACCGGCTCAACACGTTAGACGTGTGAGTGCTGAAAGCTATGGTACGTATACCATGAAGAGCTGAGTTGGAATGAAAGCGCGCGCGCCAATGATGGAGAAATTTTTCCCATTTGCCATTTACTTATATTCATATGTAATTTCATATCAATTCCGATATTGTATTCTACATTCTCTATAGGTAATTCCTTCAATTCATCTATTATTATTATTTTCATAATTATGTTTGATTGTTTTTTAGAGTAATTTATGCAAGAAATTCCTTCTTATTCTTTTGTCTCATTTTACAATAATAATTATTTGTTATCTTAAAATTGAGATGGTTAAATATAAATCACGGAATGCTTAATGTGTATACAGATGGTATGTCTAGTATCTTAATCAATTTATTTTGCTGCTCGATCTATGAGGAGTGGTCCTAATTTTTTCTTTTGTAATGTATCCTTTGCTTTCAGCTGACGCTTAGTTTGTATGGGCGATGGATTTTGCGTTGAATTTTTTGCGTTTATGGTTCTTCGATTAATTCTATAAGAGGGGGGGATTGTAACGTTGTTGAGATTTGGAACGATTGGTCTGTTTTGGATAAATGTTATTGATTCTATTGTTTGATTTTAATACATTTTTTTATATGCATGTGGTTTTTAATGGCGACCTTTTTTTTATTTTGACAGAATCAAAATAACATTGAATATAAAAAATGAAAAAAAAATTAAATTAAAATGGCGAAGCAACGGAAAACATTAAACACTATGCGTCATTTCTAGATGCATTTGTTAGTAACTAAAATGAATTATAGTAACTTCCGGGGACTGGCCGCTAGCTGCAGATATGGCCCTCTTGAGAGTAGTTTTGTCTTGCAGAAGGGATGACGACGAGCATATTATATGGCGCTATTGAGCTTTGTATATATTTTCGTTCTTCTCTTCGGCTCTTGGACATCTTCTGGAAGCAATAAAAACTCATTGCGCGTCATAGTTAACCTCAAAGTCTCAAATTGATTTATTTTAGTAATTCTGTATTTCTTGCTAAAGGCTAGAATGTCCTTACTTGTCGAGCTAGTAATTCTGTCTTTCAATCTTGTTTTTTTCAATCATTCGCGTCTTCTCTAATTCAATTTTGAGATTGTGTGTATCTAGTTGTATCAGATTTCAAATTTATTTTCTCTATTGCTCTATGGACGAACACACTCGATTATGAAGTTATTTAAAATACTATTTTATCTTTTTATTCTTTTAATTCTCATTAATAACGTTAGAGTATTGATGGTTGGAGTAATTGGAGGCGAAGTAATGCCAGTTTGTCGGCTGATGATATTTGTTTTACACAGAGAGTTGAGCAATCCTCATTTTCCGAGCCGAATTTAGGTTGCTACTTGATCGCTTAAACCGAGAGCTCTTGCGATGTGCCGCCCGCTAAGAAATTCGTTCTCCACTACAGTTCATCCGCGTTTCCTCCGCCCTCAACTATGTTAGAATGAACGGCGATAATTTGGCAAAGAAAAGCCCAAAAACGTCACGCAAGTAGGTGTGCAAGTATCAACGCTATAAAAGACCATAGTTTCCCAAGAATGATGTTGGTGAACAATAAGCTTTCGCCCCCTAGGCGGGACTAGAATACCCGCACTCTCTCGCTTTCTCGGGCAATGTGCGGCTAGCAGTTAAGCTACACGGGCACAAATTG